TGTTGCATTCAGTAGCCACGTTGTACCTTTGCTACACCTAGCATATATGTATATATATATATATATATATATATATATATATATATATTATATATATATATATATATATATAACTCTAGTAATATGTAGCATACTTTCCCTCTCCCTCTCACTCTCTCTCTCTCTCCCTCTTTCTGCACATGTGTTTATTTGTACACGTAAGTACATTATATACAAGCATGCATACATGCATTGATAAGGTGAATCTAGCGTAAAATGCCATGTTTCAGTAACAAGGGGATACGTGGCATCTGTCCATTCATTACGGTGCATTTCATATGCCAGCATTCAATGCAACGCTTAATCCTCTTGCGATAACGTACCAACAAACACTCCTATAACTAAATTACAAGGATGCTAAGTTGGACATTGCTTGCCGGGAACCCAAAGGCTTTGTTGGGGACAAGCCCTTGCCTGCCTCACTGACGCATTTCCTCAGTTCCCACTTTCCAGGGAGAGTCGGAAGTGCAGGGAGTGCCGCCGATCCCTGGCATCCGTGATATTCCATTACGTGATTAATATTTTCTCGGTCCATTCACTAGTGCGCTTGATTGGTTTCCGTCACCGAGCCGAGAAATGGCAAGCTAGAGCCGCCCAGGGGCTTAGATCGGCAGAACCGGCAGCCTTGAGTCCCGGCCATGCTCGGACCCTGCCCCCTTGTGACGCGTCGCCGCAACGGCAATAATAAGGGGCCTGAGATCTCACCAGCGGGACAAACAGCGTCATTGGCGGCCGTGCTTTGTCGGTGGAAATCCCACAGCGTTCTCCGGCTTAACGCGCAGCGGGCAATATTCGTGCCTGGCAACACTTAAACGAGCGGTTGCTGCTCTGAACTGGAAACTTCGACCACAGTTCACATATCATTCGACCATATTAGCATCGGTCATTGTTCTGACGCGTAATCCGACGGTGTTACGGTGTTCGTTGCATGAAGCGACCAACAATTTATCGAGCACAGCATGTCAGTTCGGGAAAAATCATCGACCTCATATCAGTCGCGACGCTCTAGGGCGTTGCAAAAGGCGATAATATTACATTTTCATGTGTTAGCTTATTACACCTAATAGGTAAACAACGCGCGTAATAGTATGTAGTACTGCCTGCGCGACATATTATATGAGTCGTGTACTATAATGTGTGCTATCCACTTCGTCTCAGTACTTTCCATGTTACATCACCGACGACCAACAGAGAGATCAGCGGCATGAAATACGGCTGGATGGCTCCATTGGCACCGTGACGATTCCCGTCGTCGCAGCTGTTTTCAGTGATGTCACTCCCACTGGACGACCCCTTGCAGCAGCATGTCATAAATGTATCCAAGCTATTTCTGGGCAGCACTGACTGGGCAGAAGGCTTCGGTCCATCAGTAATTGACGATGTAACTAATTAATGCTGCTAAATCCGGGAATAGCACACCCACCTGGTATAAATTCGAACGTACTTTCTGCTCTCAGAATTGGCCGCATAATTGCGGGCACCGTCGAGCAGTGCAGCTCATGCACGCGCGACGCGTAACGTAACATACTGACGGTCGTTAAACGCATTACAGCTTTGATAATATGGCCCACGAATTCCACCGACACAGAAAGGACTAACTAGCAAAGCGATAGGCGGCCAAACCAGACGTGTGCTCGACCCAGATATGCACTCGACTCCAGATGAGCATAGTTGACTCGGGCTCAGATTCCAACACCAGGACTCCCATTACTTAGCATGGGGGGATCAGTAACGCTTAGGTAACGTTCTATCTTAATTTGGAAGCGGACCGGGCGGTTGTTTTAATCCTGAAGGCATGCGTATGTGCCGCGCTGCGAGACAAACGTATGTCGGGCGCATCGCTCCAGACTTGAGAAACCTCCTAATCGACGCCAAAACTTGGAAAATTCGGCACGCATGAATTTCTCCTGCACCCTCTGCAGCTAACCCTTTACCACAAACACAACACTGAGACATGACCACAACCAGCAGTCACCGGATCACCTCAGCACAGGCCGTTCCGACCGACGCTGTAGACACAACGCCAGGGCCGTCCGACCGGACGCGGCCGCTGTTTCGTACCGGCGGCCTCCGACGGAGCCGCAGCGTACGTACCGGTGGTGGGGACGCCGCCGGCAGCGGTGTGCGGCCTCCGTTGTCTCCAGCCGCGGCCTCGCCGGCACACTGCGGTCGCCGGCCGGCCGGCGCGGCTCGGAGGTCGATGCAGATGGCGCTGGCGCCGCGACCAGACGCCGCCCCAGGCAACAGGTGCGACGGCGGCGCCGTCTGGCGGTGACCTGGCACACTGCCCACCCAGTAGCGTCAGAACGACGTTCGGCTGACCGAGACCTCGGGATCGGGCGCCACAGCTTCACCTTCCGGTGTGAGGACCTCGGATACCATTCCCAAGCATCCCGCTTTCAACCACGAATGTGGTTTTACTCTGTTATTGGATGATTTGCCCTCCTTTGCCTCAGTGCGGGGCTTTGTTGACCCACCGCCCCGTGGACTGACCGGAAGAATCAGCGCAGGCCCCTCGCGCCGCTCCGTCGGCCAGCCGTGCAGCTCCCTCCGCCCCCGCCCCGCCGCGGGACGCCGCCAGGTACGCGGTCCGGCCCCGCCGCTGACCGGCTCTGATCGGAACCCTGTCCGCCCGCCCACGCCGGCTGCAGTCCGTCGCCGGTGGTTAAGCGTCAGACGCCGGCGAAGCCCCGGACCGGGACTCTCCGTCGGAGCTGATCTCCGGCGCCGTTCGATTATCCCGTTAGCCGTCCCTGCGGAGCGCCTGTTGGCGGCCGCGGTTCAGCGGCCGAGTCTGAGAAGGCCCCGCGCAGAGACCGGCAGGAGGCTGGCAGCCGAAGCTAGTCACTCATCACTGACACTCTCCACCTATGGAACGCCACAGAATTTGTCGCATGTCGTGGATTCATGAGTCGCAGAAACTAGCGAAACAGCTCAAGGTGGCGACATGAAAAATGAAGTCCCCGACACTTGTGAACTTTTATTAATATTTCATGAGACGCGTCCAATTTTGCAACAGAAAGCGCGACGAACATCACCCAGAGAAGTCCTCCCCGATTGACAAGAACTGTTCGCCAACTGTATTGTCTGTGTCATACCATGCAATATATGTAACTTAAATGTCGCAGAAATCGGTTGTACTCCCCCTTCCCAGAAGGAAAATGTATGTCTGTCTTCGAAGCAGTGTCGCGAACTAGGACATTCCAGTGCATCGAGATAGGCGCTCTTATTCTGACCGCACCAAATTTCAGCACGCCTGCAGACACCAATTAAACGTTTTTTATAAAAAAAATTGTCATTGTATTAAATGCTTGATTGACAATGTCGTTCAAGCAACTCTTTCTGACGTCTTGCAGGTTTATTGTGGTCAGCATTAGAACCCCCAGCTCATAATGCCGAAGACAGGAGCTAAATGCAGTTTTGTCAATTCCTATCAAGTAATGCTTCAGTACAAACAACACTGTAAATATGCACACTGAAGGCGGATTCTCTGCATATTGCCCCTTAAATGTATCACAGTTGAAGAATGTAAAGTTCTGGTCGGAAGCGAATGTCTAGCAGACAAAGGCAAAGAAGCAACGACTAAAAACGCAGGTCAGCTTTTTGCGATCTAATCTCACGTCTGGTGCCCCAAGGCCATGCCAAACATTGTGAGAGCGTGGAGGACGGCTCCACGGCAGTCTTGCTGCAGTTTATACCGAACCACGCCGCACCTAGAGACGACCTCGCCTTACCTCCCCATTACATCTTCCCAAGATCGCCGCGTTCGTGATGACCCCATAGTCGCCTAGTTTTCCAGCAGTATTCGTTATTAATGCTGGTCGTCTGCTGCTTCCACTCCATTCTATAATTCACGACGGCGGCCTGATTTCGCGAGCAAACGATCTGGCGAGAGCGTCGCGCGGGCCGGCCTGCGGCGTCCGACCGGCCGAGCCGGCGTATCGATCCTGTGCGGCCGGCTGACGGGCGGCTCCGCTGACTGTAGCGTGTCGTCTCATCTCACGGTCCTGCGGTGACCACACCGGCCGGGGAGCCGCCGCGGCCCGGCCGGCGACGCCGCAAACACGGGTCAGTCGGTAGCAGCCCTCGTATTGAGACAGGCCAATATCACTATGCAAACAATAGCCGACACCACGACTCGTGAGAGCGTGCAGCGACGCCACCGACGGCCGCCGGCCATCGGCAGGGCCGCGCCGCACGTCCGGGCTCCAGCGGTGTCACTGGGCGCGCAGCACATTTCCGCGAGTGTTCCCAAACAAGACAGCGGGTTTTGCGCGGACAACGCCGGGCGTTTGGGCGTGCGGCTGGACAAGCGGGTCATGGGAGCCGGGGTGACTAGGGCGGCCCAGTCAGCCCCGCCCACGACATAGCACATCACTTCCCCTATTCCTGTCCTAGACGGCGCGCAACGCACCGCTCCAAGCCCTCGACACGCCCCTTCCTCTCGCTCACACGGCGCGACTTCCGTCAGCGCGGCCGATGACACGATTCCTGCCCTTCAAAAGCTCACACGATTTACTCCACAGCCAATCAGCGCCCGGCGCAGAGATGCCTTCACAGTCCGCTGTCGTGCCCCCCGGCCGACCGCAGCCGCCCGGTCTGGCCTGAAGGGCGGGCGGGCGGGACGGCTTCGCCAGCGGAGCGGTGGGGGCGACCTCGGTGGCAGCCGCAACAGCAGCGCCGGTCGAGCCCACTCAGAGGGCGGCGAGCTAGAGCGCGGAGCGTGCGAGCAGCTCAGATCACAGTGGACGACACCAACGACGCACTGACCGAAAAAGGCAGCAGCGCAGGCCTCGCAAAAAAAATGCCTAACAGAATAAAGCTTTGCTCTCGTGACGACAACGAAGCACCGCGGCACGCCGTGCGGACGGTGTGCGACACCAAGTGGCGGCGGCGGCGGCGGCGCGCGCCGACCGACAGGTGCTGTCGGGTCAGACTGCCGCCCAGCCGGAACCGCAGCCCCGGCCGCCTAGCGGCACTCCCACACCTTGACCGTCTGGTCGACGCTGCCCGTGACCACGAACGGAGCCGAGGCGTGCATGTCTGGAACAGGGCGGAGGCGCCGGTGTAACGCGGCGTAACGTGACTAACGCGCGCACGACCGGCCGCCACAGCCGGTCGGAAAGGCACATGGGCATCGGTGGGGGGGGGGGGGGCGGGGGGGGACGGTGACGCGACTCCCTTATCGTCAGTCACAGGGTCGGTGTCTTTACGTGCTCTGAACAGTTTTGAGACCCTGGAAAACTTGTTCTTAAAAGTTCGACTAGGTGACATGGATCCGGTCTGATTTCATAACCATGAAGAAGTCAGCAACATTTGCCTCAAGTTTGCCACGTATAGCACACCTCGTTACACTTTAGTTGTGATCCTTCATTAGTTGTTGGAGGTTAATATCAGTCCGTGTGAGGCACACCTCATTTCACTGTCAACGATCCTTCAGATTTGTTGTAGGTTACAATCAGCTCGCAACGAACAGCAGCATTAGCAATCCCTCTATCGACATTCTTTATATCTAGTGTGATGCTTTCTTAGGCCTGAGTCTAGCCAGAGGAAAATTCAGATAGTTTCGTGTTATGAGTATCCGAGGAGAGCGTTGGTCTAGGAATGCACTGCGCATGTGGAAAACGCTGCACGGTGCATTGCTGCCTCATGGCAACGAAGTATTCTGCTGGTGTAATATGCCTATGGGTCGTTCATGTCCAGGTGATACATGTCAGGAGTTTGAAATTGTTCTCAACAGACTATGCAATTCACAGATGAAACTTCAATATCAATGCCCGCCCACGTGCCTGCAACTGTTAGTATATTTACATGTTTTACGGTAACTGGCGTTCTCCACTCTATCTTTTATTGCCATCAGCCTCGTGTCCCGAAACTCAAAACGTGACCTCGCCCGAAAGACCGAGAGACGCGCCACAAAGAGACGCGCCACACAGCGAGCCAGCGGGCGCAGTCAGCCAGGGAGGGCCGCGGCCGCTGGCAGCGGCGCCTCGCCGCGCGTGCGCCCTCACCTAGCGACGTGCAGAAGTGCTGGTGCGCCTCGAGCGTGCGGTGGCAGCGCCTGGCCTTGAGGCTCCAGACGCGCACCGTCTTGTCGTCGGAGGCGGACAGCAGGAACTGTCCGCCCGGGTGGAACACCAGCCCGCGCACCCAGTTGTCGTGGCCGATCAGCGTGAACAGACACTGGCCGGAGCCGACGTCCCAGATCTGAGGGCGGCGGCGACGGACAGGCGTCAGTCGCCTCCCGCTGCCGCACTCGCCGGGCGGAGGCCCGCGGCAACGACAAACGTGACGCACAGCGGACCACAGGGCACGCTTTCAACTGCAGAGCAGTGTACCAGGACAGGAGGGCCCTGCACACATAATTTAAGAAACAAACGAATAACGAAAGCAAGACAATAACACAATCAGGAGTAAACGTCCCTGCACTACACCTCGGGCGCGAGTAGAGGAGCCAGGCTCGTGCCCGGCGGATAACGCGGGCCCGGGCCAGTGCAGGAGTCACGGTGTCATGTCACTGCGACAGGTCACCGCAGGCCCGCAGCGCACGCTGCCCGGCCGCGTGGCGAGGCCACACCTTGATGGTCTTGTCGCGGCTGCCGGAGGCCAGCAGCGGCCCGTGGTGCGGCGACTTCTTCTCGTCGCCGGCCGCGCCCTCGCTGATTTGCGGCCAGGCCGACTGCGGCGCCCAGGCCACACATTCCACCACGTGCTCGTGATCACGCAGCTCCACCTGGGGGAGTCGCTCACGTGAGCGCGGTCGGCACGCCAGCTCGCCTCGGAGGGGCAGGGCACGAGCACGGTGACGGGCAGTCAAAACGCGCTTGGCAAGCGACAGATAACTGAAGCGTAGGTGGAACATACACGGAGCAATAGAGGAAACGAAAATACACAATGTCGTAGGAAAGGCACGAACGTCCATTCCATACATCACCAAACACAGCTGAATTTTAATTCGTTTCAAAACACGTGGAATTTCGACGCGATGCGGCACGTGCCTGGGGTCAGTAGCGCATTAGGCACGTCCTGATTTTCGATAAAGGAAAGAACCAACGCTCATTTCACAAATACAGAAACATCCCTGCCCGTTGGCAGCATGTTTGTTCTGGTCGTGCAGACGGCAACACGAACACATGTAATCATTCACCCCAGGGGAGAGAGCATGCCGGAGCTGACAGCGGTGGGACAGCCCGACATAACACGGGACCGCACGGGACCGTAAGCGCGTTGAATCGAAAACGGTCGCCTCTGGAGGCTTCCGGCGCCGCCTCGCGCCGACAGCTGGAACAAATTAGCCCGTCCTCTCTCGGGAAATCTCGATTACCACCCGTTGACAGGCCAGCCACAAATTCAGCGGCATGACGGGCGCGACGAGCGGAAGCGAAAAGCTCGGAATATTCAAACTTCCAGGCACGGCCTGAATACGGTCCGGGCCCGTGAAAATAGAACAGTGCCGCCGGGCCGCCGTCCGGCCGTCATTCTTCACGGCCGAGCCCGAGCCAGACGCCGTCACGGCGCGCCACATTGATCCGCTGCAGCCCTGCTGCGGTACCGGCGGCCCGGCCCGCGCCGCAGCAGCGGAGCGGGGCCGCCCCGGCCTCCGCCGGCGCCCTCACCTTGCACTCCTTGGTGTTGATGAGCCACACGCGGACCGTCTGGTCGTTGGAGCAAGACGCCATCAGCTGGCCGTCCGGGTGCACGCGCACCATGCGCACCCACTCACGGTGGCCCGCGAACGTGCGCACGCAGTACCTGCGGCCGGGTGGGGGTCAGCGCCGGCGGCGACGGACAGGACGCCGCCAACGGGTGGCTGGCTGCGGCTCAGACCGTCCCTTGGACATGTTCAGAAGCACGACGTTCCCAACGAAGAGAAAACAACGGACTCACTTAACGTTCAGCTTCTGACTAACACATCTCCCCATACGAGCACACTGTCTTTATAAAGACCCGAATGTCAACACCTTGATCGCGTCCCCAAGCCGTAACCCGAACAGTGGCCTTTCACGGCCGGGAGAGCACGACACAGGAGCTGGGTCCATTTCACAAAGCCGCTCAGGGCTTCGGCTGGCTTTCCGCAGATTCGGCGGCCGAACCGCGATGGCTGCGATAAGTCCCGGCCGGAACTGCCGGTCTTCAGGCGCGCGGCCGCCGCCATCCCAGCAACGACCACCGGCTAACGGGATATGAGGCCGGCCGACGACTTATCGGCCGGCGCCGGCGCCCTGCCCCCGGCCCCTCGCCCGTAGCAGTCCCCCCCCCCCCGTTACATGGAAAGGTGACACCCCGCCCAGGCCGTCACATAGGAAACACCTCCAATGGGACGTGGAGGGGGACGCCCCGCCCAGGCCGTCACATAGGAACACCTCCAATGGGACGTGGAGGGGGACGCCCCGCCCAGGCCGTCACCCAGTAACATCTCCCGTGACAAGGAACGGTCGTTGCTCCGGCTCTCACCCGGTGGCCACTTCCCACATTTTGATGACCTTGTCGCGGGACGAGCTGACGATGAAGTCGCCGGCCGGCAGGAAGGTCACGCTCGACACGTTGTGGTCGTGGCCGTGCATGGTCTTGATGCACTCGTAGTGGCCGCTGAAGCTCCACAGCTTGACCGACATGTCGGCACTGCACGACACTGCGCGCACGGGCCGACCCGTTCAGCGGCGTCAGGCCACAGGCGCCCACGCACCCGACATGTCGGCACTGCACGACACTGCGCGCACGGGCCAACCCGTTCAGCGGCGTCAGGCCACAGGCGCCCACGCACCCGACATGTCGGCACTGCACGACACTGCGCGCACGGGCCGACCCGTTCAGCGGCGAGAGGCCACAGGCGCCCACGCACCCGACATGTCGGCACTGCACGACACTGCGCGCACGGGCCAACCCGTTCAGCGGCGTCAGGCCACAGGCGCTCACGCACAGGTGCAGTTTGTAAACAGGAGCATTCAAGTTTCACGTCATCGAGGAAAGATCGGGGCACAGCTTCACGTGAGCGCTTACGGCCTGCCTGCCGTGAACCGGCAGCACGTGACATTACAACCAACGCTGGGGGGGGGGGGGGGGGGCAGTGATCGCCCGCGAGACCCAACCCCGCCGGACGGGACCTGTGCCGCGGACGTGCCGAGCCCGCCTCGGCCAAACACCTGGTCGCCTCCGGTCGACTACGGGCCTGTACCGCGGTCCGACAATTGAGCGTTATTGAACGTCGGACGGCAATTTCAGCCCTATCGGTTCGGTGGGCTGGCGGCTCCGCGGAAAGGGTGATTAATGGTGAAACTGTGCCGCGCAATCTATACCGAGCTCGGCCAACTTCAGGCGCCGTCCGGAAACTCGCGAGTTATCGCAGAAAACTCAGGAGTTACGGCCAGAGCGACGCGGGGCCCATTCAGATTCAACAACTGGGTGCCTGCCCATGAAGCGGCGCGCCAGAACTCGTCAGGACGGGCTGGCTACCCAGCGCTAGCGACGAGGCCCGCAGAGGGGCAGGGCTACCCAAGAACGGCAGGGCAGGCTGGTCAGAGGCCCGGGGCGCAGCTGAATCGCGGGCCGCCATTTGTGTTCCGCTACTCTGACGTGGGTGCTGATGTGGTGCTCAGAACAGCGTCATGACGCTCCGAGCTGGCCCGCGCTCTCCACCCGCGCCAGCGACAGAGACTGGCCGCGTGAAGCACGGCAGGAGCCTGTGAAGCGACATCATCACTTCACCAGCGCCGGCCGGTCCGATGAGTGACGCAGCGCTGGGTCAGGCGGCCAGGCCGCAGGTCAGCGCCGGAGCCGCAGGCGGACACCAGCCACGCTCCGGCCTGGCGCGGACGCCACTCTGTCAGCCCCGCCGCTCGCGCAGAACCACGTGTCGGGGATATTCAGCACAACCGTGCACACTCCCCCAGCCAAAACGGTCTTCCACTTCATGCTGATGTGAAACTGGTCACGCCCAGCTGTCTCGGGACCGCACGTCCGCCTCCCCCACGGTACAGGCCGGGATCCGGGGGCGCGAGGAGGGTACCGCACGTCCGCCTCCCCCATGGTACAGGCCGGGATCCGGGGGCGCGAGGAGGGTACCGCACGTCGCCTCCCCCACACGGTACAGGCCGGGATCCGGGGGCACGAGGGTACCGCACGTCCGCCTCCCCACGGTACAGGCCGGGATCCGGGGGCGCGAGGAGGGTACCGCACGTCCGCCTCCCCCACGGTACAGGCCGGGATGGGGGCACGAGAGGAGGGTACGCACGTCCGCCTCCCCCACGGTACAGGCCGGGATCCGGGGCACGAGGAGGGTACCGCACGTCCGCCTCCCCCACGGTACAGGCCGGGATCCGGGGGCACGAGGAGGGTACCGCACGTCCGCCTCCCCCACGGTACAGGCCGGGATCCGGGGGCACGAGGAGGGTACCAGACGTCCGCCTCCCCCACGGTACAGGCGGGATCCGGGGGCACGAGGAGGGTACCAGACGCCCGACTCCCCACGGTGCAGACGGGCCGGCGGGCACGAGGGGGTACCAGACGTCCGCCTCTCCACGGCACAGACCGGGCTCCGAGGGCACGAGGGGAGCCGACGGCGGACAAGTCGCAAGCGCCGGCCACGAGTCACCAGTCAGGGATCACAGGTCACGACCTCGGGTCACAGGTCACTGATCATGACCTCGGGCCACAGGTCATAGGTCAGGAGCGGCCGGTGGCACGTACCCAGAAAGCTGCCCGTGTGGTCCAGGGCGATGTCCTGTACGCTGTCCGTGTGACCCTTGAGCGTGCGTTCGTAGTCGCCGCTCTCGTAGTCCCACACCTTGATGGTGGCGTCCTCGCTGGCCGACACCAGCAGGCTGTAGACGGGGTGCAGCAGCACCTGGCGACAACGGCGGCAGCGACATCGGCATCAGCCGGCGCACAGGACGGCCCCCGCCTCAGTCACGCGGCATGTGTCACGGTCTAGCGCCGGCCACACGTGAACGGCCGCTGGGACAGTGTAAACATGCCTAGCCTGACCGTGTTCGTGGCAGGCCATGCGGACTTTTTTTCTCAGCCAGCCCGCACAAAGCCTCGAGTATATTTTAGAAGACACAGCACGTGCGTCACGAAACCGCTTCTCTGACGATCGCCGACGCTTGTCACCTTCCAGACCGCCAGGAAATCAAGAACATGAGCGGGCAAAAGGGGCAATGGCATGGATTTTCGGACTCGGACTGTTTGGTCCTACAGAATCTGACCTGAAAAGATCCTGCTAGTTAAAGATCCTCAAATGAAAAGATCTTGCTGTTTAGACGAGAGTGCTAAATGAGCAGAAGGACCAACTTGCCGGAAATATAATAAATCACGGCGTCGTGAGACGTGGCAGTTGATGCAGTTGTGATTTTTGCCTTCCGTAACCTTTAACTAGAACTGAAGACCTCAGATTCCGAAGAAAAACGAGTTATTGCGCATCGCGCTGGAAAGGAAAAGACACAGCAACCGTCCGCCATTCTCAACGATCTTCAGACACCTTCTAAATGGAATGAATCGAGGTCAGAACAACTTTGTATGGGGGCTTGCTCCGGCACTAAAACATTACGGGAAATGCAGGTCCCGCAGTGACGTCACAGCAACCTGGACACGACACAGACGCTATCAACAAACTCGTACTGGCGCTGAACGTCCCCGGACAGTGACGGATGGGTGACAAACGTGAATGTCTGAGGATTACACGGGTGGGAGCACTCACTTTGGACGAGTTTACTACATAGGCGCCCCATTTCAAATTTATTTTATCATGCTTTTGCTTGCGGTGGCGTATATTCTATCGGCCGGATTGTTTGCTCACGCGATATGAAAAATGCACGCTATCGTGGCACAATTCCTGAAATGCACGTTGGTGCCGGACGAATTCGTGCGGTTCAGTGTTTGACCTCTATCTAAGACATAAGATGAGACTCGCTGGACATGACGGCCAGTTATCAACGCAGCGATGCGTTACCAGTAACACTGATACGAGAACAATGCATGGAAAAAACTGATTTCAAGACTGGATTTGCCCAACCCCTTTTGGTGAAACGATCCCAGGCCCAGCAAATAAAGCCACATGCCATTCAGCCTGCACAAAGCATGCCTTGCTTTCAGCTTCGACTGTCCTTTGGCATTGATGTAGGATAACAACATCCCAGGGTGCGTCTTCCAAACGTCGTCCCAAGGTAGAGCACACAAAGCTCCATTAGTACGCAAACTATGGCAAACACGGCGGCGATCTTGCAAAAGTGCTCGATCTCATCGATCTTACCAGACGGCAAATAACCCCGGGGACGGCAGCAAACAGTTATCACGTCCTCAGTGTCCCGCACGAGCTCACCCTGCCGGTCCGCGCCTACGACCATCAGGTCTGCGCGGCGACCGTCCGGCTGGCCCAGCTCCGGCCGCCGGTCACGCCCGACACGGAGGCGGCGGCGCTGCCCCGCCCCGAGGCGCGATCCGCGGCCACTCCCCGGAGACGGCCGCCGCTAATGGACACACAGACGACTGTCACAGCCAGAAGCGGCCGGCTGGCTCCCGGGGGGCGGCCGCGGCGCAGCCGGAGACGCCACCGCGGCCCAGGTAACCGCCGGCGGCCGCCCGGACCGGCGGCGAGACGGACAGCGGCGGGCTCTGCGTGTCTAGCTCCCGCCGGGCCGTCACAGCGAGGCCACGCACCCACACACAGACGGCGATGGGGAGTGCCTCCGCTCAGCGGCCAGCGGTAACGCAGAGGAACCAGCGCCCGCGACAGACCAGGGGAGGCGACAACCCCGTCCCAACCCGACCCGGGGTAAAAGCTCTCACGGACTACCCGACTCACAGCAGACCCGGAGCGGAAGGCACGGGACAACCGTTCCACACCCGATCCGAGCTCTCGCGGACTACCCGGCCCGCAGCGGACCCAGAGCGGGAGGCACAGAGCACCAGTCCCACACCCGATCCGGGCTCTCCCGGACTACCCGGCCCGCAGCAGAGCCGGAGCGGAAGGCACAGGGCACCAGTCCCACACCCGATCCGAGCTCTCCCGGACTACCCGGCCCGCAGCAGAGCCGGAGCGGAAGGCACAGGACACCAGTCCCAGCTCGACCGGAGCTCTCACGGACTACCCGACCCACCGTGGACCCAGAGCGGGAGGCACAGAACACCAGTCCCAACCCGACCCCGCGCCGAGCTCAATTTCCGGACGGAGGAGCCACGGCGACCGCAGCCAATTCTGCGAAGCCGGCGGCGGTGTATTACCAAGCCCGACTCGCACAGTTCATCACCGCCGCCCGCCCCGTCATGAGCGCGACGGCCATGGTAATGGGCTGCGATCGATGGCGACGCCGGTGGGCGGCGCAGCTCCCGTCCGAGACATTGTGGCCAGCCTCTTCCGCTGCCTCTCGGTCTCTGCCGGTCTGTCTCCGCCTGTAATTGTCTGATGAGATGTCTATCTGTCCGTTCAATGCGTCCACCTGCGCGTCGATCCCCGCGCCGGTGCATGTGTCGGCGTCGGTTGCGAGCCGTCCTCCCGTGTTCCAGCCCAACCGGCCGGCTGTCGGTCAGGGTCATGAGCCGCCTCCATCGATCCAGCCGGCCGGTCAACATATCGACCTGACATGACCGCCGCTGTCGTCTGGCGGGGGCGGGGCCCGGTCTTGGCGGGCCGCTGGCCCGAACACGGACCGGGCGTCCCACCCGCCGACTCAGGCACCACCGCACACCCCGCGACATCGCCCAGAACGGGATCGGCCCCGCCCGGACCGCTGTCGGACCCCGCACGGGTGCGGCCTCGCCTCGTCTCCGCCGAAGCGTCCCCCGCACACGTCACCGGGCCGCCGAGCTCGAACTACGCCCGGCCGGCGGCACCACTCTCAGGTCCTCTTTGGTAAGCCCCGGGTCTAGGGGAGAGGTGGCAATAAGGGGTAGATACATCGTTGGGGTGGGAACATAATGGTTCGATTGGTCTCATCACAGAACAATGGACTGCAATGGAACACGAATGGCCAACACTTGAAATACAAGGATCATGAGCTGCAATTCAAATGCGGAGGGAACACGCAAGTAAAAAAGCAGTGGCAAGGTCCATGCCATGTTTATTATATGAAGCTTGCGCGATGAAATATACACGTAATTGAATCAAAACATTTGTTGGCTTGCTTCCATCCATCGTTTATGCACATAAAAATGATCAGCAGTGAACATTTTGGCACCAAATGGCCTTTGCTAGGATTTTAGTTAGCACAGAACTGTACAATACCATGCATTCATTCATGAACGCGCATTATTGGTCCATCCGTCTCCTTCACATGCCTTGGCGGTCCGTACAAGATAAGGAACGAAAGGACCTGGGAAACGGCGGAGCCTACCGTCTTTCACAGCACCTGAAGCAAACATACCTTTCCTCTTATGGATAGTCTGGGATGAGTGCCAAAGACCTCCAACGTTAAAGCACAAAGACATCGTATACCCAAGCACGAACGCTATCCCCGGAACACAAAACACTAGCTCTGTTTTCCATCATCAGTGCGGTGACCATCACACTTCGGAGGGCCCCGATGATGGCTAACTCCTGACAACAGTATGCTACACACTTGGTTTCTCCAGTGAATATTTTTCACCCAAATGGAAGGCTAAGGACATGGCAGCACTTCGGAGCCGAAGTTGGATCCTCCGGGAACTTACATCGCGTTTAAATGCACTTTGCCCGAAGGTTAAGAGGTCGAAATCGGTCCCAACCGGCTTAGCACAGCACCCGCCAGGGCCATCTCCACGCCGATCAGCGGGAGAAATCTGACGCGGCCAGGGACATTTAAAGCGGGGCCCGGTGACCTGAGGCAGGACCCGCTGACCTGAGGCGGGGCCATCTGACCTGAGACGAGGCCCGCTGACCTGAGGCAAGGCCCGCTGACCTGAGGCGGGGCCCTGACCTGAGCAGGACCCGCTGACCTGAGGCGGGGCCATGACCTGAGACGAGGCCGCTGACCTGAGGCAAGGACGCTGACCTGAGGCGGGGCCCGCTGACCTGAGGCAGGACCCGCTGACCTGAGACGGGGCCATCTGACCTGAGACGAGGCCCGCTGACCTGAGGCGGGCCTGACCTGAGGCGGGGCCTGACCTGAGACGAGGCCCGCTGACCTGAGACAGGCCCGTGACCTGAGGAGGGGCCCGCTGACCTGAGGCGGGCCCGCTGACCTGAGCGGGGCCATCGACCTGAGACGAGGCCGCTGACCTGAGGCAAGGCCGCTGACCTGAGGCGGGGCCCTGACCTGAGGCGGGGCCTTGACCTGAGACGAGGCCCGCTGACCTGAGGCGGACCCCCTGAGGCGGGGCCCGCTGACCTGAGGCGGCCATCTGACCTGAGACGAGGCCGCTGACTGAGGCAAGGCCCGCTGACCTGAGGCGGGGCCCGCTGACCTGAGACGGGACCTGGTGACCTGAGGCAGGACCCGTTGACCTGAGGCGGGGCCAGCTGATCTGAGGCGAGGCCCAATGACCTGAGGCGGGGTCCGCTGACCTGAGACGGGGTCCGCTGACCTGAGACGGGGTCAGCTGACCTGAGGCGGGGTTCGCTGACCTGAGGCGGGACCTGGCGATCTGAGGCAGGACCCGTTGATCTGAGGCGGGGCCAGCTGACCTGAGGCGGGACCTGGTGACCTGAGGCGGGACTCGCTGATCTGAGGCGGGGCCAGCTGACCTGAGGCGGGGCCCGATGACCTAAGGCGGGGCCCGCTGGTCTAAGGCAGGGCTCGCTGACCTGGGGCGGAGCCCGCTGACCTGGGGCGAGACCCATTAACCTGAGGTGGGGCCCGCCGAGCTGAGGCAGGGCCTGTTGATCTATAGCCGCTTCCGTCGATCTGTGGCCGGGCCTGCCCGCCTTATTCCTGCCTAGCTGACAGCAGCCCTTGCATGTCTGTGACCAGAATCTGCTGGTCTGAGGCTTGAACCCAATGACCTAAGGCCTGGACCAATTGACCCGAGGCGGAGCCACATTGACCTAAGCGAGGAGTCTCGGGGACCGCTCGCCTGAGGCCGGGTCTTCTGAGCCCAGGCGGCACAGGCTGGCGGACCGCGCCGGCCGTGGTGGCGCCGGCCAGACCAGACCGGCCCGGCCCGTCCCCCGGCTCTGATCGATTTGCGATCGGCCGCCGCGCCGGCCTCTATTAACACTACCGGCGCGCCGGCAGAGATGCGGCGGACCAGACACAGCGCAGGAGCGGCGACAGAGATGCGGCGGACCAGACACACGACCGGAGTGGTAACAGAGATGCAGCGGACCAGACACACGGCCGGAGTGGTGACAGAGATGAGGCGGACCAGACACATGGCCGGAGTAGCGACAGAGTTGCCGTACATGGGACATACATCACTAAGTACATCACCAAGTATCGTCAAGGATGCAGCTGAGCGGACACGGGGGGAGTGGCGGGACAAATGCGGCTGAGTGGACACCAGCGTCGCGGCTGAGCGGACACGGGCGGAGTGGCGGGAGAGATGCGGCTGAACGGACACGGGCGGGGTGGCGGGCAAGATGAGGCTGGGCGGACACCAGCGTCGCGGCCGAGCGAACACGGGAAGATGTCAGAGATATGACGCACCGAGCATATATGACTGAGAGTACACAGAATACAGCAGATGCGAATCACATTGAGTGCCAGTAGAGACGCTGCAAATTTTGTCCGCAGAAACGTGGCGCACCTGACATACACGCACGGTTGAACGCCATGCGTTCACATCCCGCGTCCAAAAACACGGATCCGGTGTCGCTAGATGGCGAAGAGGCGGCCATCAGTCTGTAAAAGCTCCACATTCAGTGGCTAGGTTCAGGCGCTCCTGGCGCTGAGCGCTGGCACTGCCGCGCGGCAGCCGGTCAACATCCAACGCCAGACGATAAGCATGCCATGCGTTGGATTATGAATCCCCCCCCCCCCCCCCGACATGCGGGAGGGCCACATCTGGAGGCTCCCTCCCCAGTGAAACTGGAGCTCTCTTCGAGAGCGCCTCGTACTGACCACCCGCCAGTAGCCCCACGGATAAGGAACGCGAGTGCTTGAACACCGTGCACTGCGAGGTGTTTGCATGAGCAGCGGCTTATCAGTGGTGACCATCGGATAAGTCCTGAGGGGTTAGGATATCTTGGGTCCCGATAATTGTCTGATTATTTTAAAAGCCCTGTGTTACACAGCAATCGAGTTCATGCCATTGCTCTCGCTAGCATGGCAATGCCGCTCACTTTTGTTTGATGGGGATGCCGAAGGGCCCTGAGCAGAATATCTCAAAGCCGCGGCCGTACCACCGTACGTCCAGCATCCCAGCCGGACATACGGCGGGGACGCTGCCGCGCCTCCGCCCGGTCTGAGGGCCTCGTCAGCGATCGCCATTCTCTGACGACCGGCCACATGCTACTGGCCACCACAAAAACAGAAGAAAAAAAACGCTACGGAGAGATCGAATACGCAACGAAAGTTTGTCGAATCGATCACGGGGTGCTCTCCCCTTTTCCAACAGATTTGAACGAGTCGGAGCGAAAACAGCGGCAACGGACGGCGTGCACATATTGGGAGCGGGACATGTGATGGGGCGGCCCACCAGCGGGGCACGGCTCAAACCGCCAGCCGGTACCGTTCGCCTCCCTCTCCGCCAGCGCCAAGGTCAAACATGCACCGCCGGGTCCAATTCAAATATCCGGCCGTTACACCCCTGAAGCGGGCAGAGCTATCTCAAGCGAAGGATGGCGGCGGGTTTACATCGGACGGTACTGTCGCTCCATCACTACACTGAGGGCTACCAGCCTGACAACGTGCCACTGGGCTCCTCCACACAAATGCAGGATCCCAGACGCGCGCATTCACAGAATTCGTGGTGCATTGTCTGGCTCAACGAGCTGCGCAGAGGGCGGTCCAGGGACGCCACGGACAAAAGGACGCCCTCGCCTGGACGCATCATGCTGTAGATGGAAGATCACCGGACTGAATGCCTGCGGCAAGCATATTCGACACCTGAAGCTAGAAGTATTGCGAAACTTCGCCTGTTACGCGGCGACCGCGTGCTGAAGTTGCGATCCATGTTAGCATCATTCAATATCATAGGTTGGATCACTGGCTTAGCTGTCACGTCAAACTTCTGTTTTCCTGTGCTGCAATGCAAGCTGGTCACCGCCCGCCAGAATGAATATTAAATGGGAAGAGGGGGGGGGAGGGGGGGGGAGGGAATGCCACCCACATAGCCATAACCAGTCGCGGTGGTGAGACTAAGAAACATCTTACTCAGAGCTGACATCTGATGACTGATTAACCAGTGTCCTTTCACGCCGCCCTTGTGCGTCACTGATCGTCACCTGCCTTGCGTTCCCGCAGTGATCGACCTTACTGTTCTGTCGGCATAAGTTCATCTACTGGTGCCCTGTCGTCTTAGCACGGCGCAGCCCCCAGGAGGGGCCCATCCTGATGACGTGCGTAGTGTGCCCGCAATGTGCGCGTGTCGGATGAAACCAGTCGCAAGACCGGCGACAGGAGAGCAGCATCCAGACAGCGAGTCTAAATTAGATCACAGCAGCTGCCAGAACGGGCTCACCCTGGCGACGGGGGCGCGGTGTCTCGACAGGGTGGGCTTACCCTGGCGCTGGGGGCGCGGTGTCCGGACAGGGCGCACATTGGACAAGGGTGGGCTTACCCTGGCGATGGGGGCGCGGTGTCCGGACAGGGTGGGCTCACCCTGGTGACGGGGGCACAGTGTCCCGACAGGGTGTGCACCAAAACAGGGTGGGCTTACCCTGGCGACGGGGGCACGGTGTCCTGACAGGGTGGACTTACCCTGGCGACGGGGGCACGGTGCCTGACAGGGTGGGCTTACCCTGGTGACGGGGCACGGTGTCCTGACAGGGTGGGCTTACCCTGGTGATGGGGGCGCGGTGTCCTGACAGCGTGGCCTTACCCTGGTGACGGGGGCGCGGTGTCCTGACAGCGTGGGCTTACCCTGGTGACGGGGGCGCGGTGTCCTGACAGCGTGGGCTTACCCTGGTGACGGGGGCGCGGTGTCCTGACAGCGTGGGCTTACCCTGGTGACGGGGGCGCGGTGTCCTGACAGGGTGGGCTCACCCTGGTGACGGGGGCGCGGTGTCCGGACAAGGAATGCATCAAAACAGGGTGGGCTTACCCTGGTGACGGGGGCGCGGTGTCCGGACAAGGAATGCATCAAAACAGGGTGGGCTTACCCTGGTGATGGGGGCGCAGTGTCCGGACAAGGTATGCATCAAAACAGGGTGGGCTTACCCTGGTGACGGGGGCACAGTGTCTGGACAAGGTGCACATTGGGCCAGGGTGGGCTTACCTTGTTGATGGGGGCGCGGTGTGCGAACAGGGTGTATATCAGACCAGAATGGGCTTACCCTGGTGACAGGGGCGCGGTGTCCGGACAGGCTGTACTTGTCGGGCGGACGCGGGATCCACTCTGCCGGCGAGCGTTTGGCGCGGGTCGGCGCCCCGGACAGGACCTCACGTTCGTAATCGGCCAGCTTACTCTCCAGCTCCATGTTCTGCCAGCGCATGCCATGAAACATAGCCAACATTCAACAACAAAGGCTATACATTTCCTATATTTTTCATCCTCCTAGTGGAGAACTATGCAAATCAATAACGTGCACTGCTATTAAATTCATGTGTGCTGCTGCCCGACTTCTGAATGTAAAACATCATATCACATCACAATCCAAAGGCAAAATATCATGGTGGATCCACAGCTGACCCAATGCCTGTGCTTTTCTGTGACAAGGCAGCCAGCCTCTAGTTGTTCCCTTCCTGGATTGAAGATGGTTTGATAACTATGTACTACATGCAATCTTACTACAGAAATATCCAGCATACCATGAACACATGATCATCACCATCATCACAGAGATGGCTGGTGATTGGATTGTGGATTGGTTGGATCTGAGACATGATAACTTCAGTCTATCCAGGAATGGTCAAATCAGGGTAATGACAAAGCCAATGCATCATGGCATTTCATTTACATTGCCTGTTCTAAGATAAGAGCCACACATACCATTGTTAAGTGCCACAATACTAGTATCACTCCTTTCAGCCTTACCCGCTTCTGGAGTCTCAAAACAGCTGTCCATTTTTTCTCAAGATGCCCAATATATCTCTTTTCGATCTCTCCAGGCATATCTGTTTCCCTTTTGAATGCCTCGAGGGACTCCATATAGCCATTGCTGCTGAGGTATTCAGCAATTGCTTTGTTCCTGAAAAATAGAGAATATATGGTGCTAAATATAGCAAAACATGCACACTGAGAAACATGCTACAAAAATGTTGGGGTGCTTTGCAATAGCATTGGTGCATACTTATGCATTAGTTACATGTTTTTCCCACAATTTTGTGCTAGCAAACCCTTACAGTGCTTAAATAGCTGGTTACTCCCTCTAATCCTTAGTATTTGCATCCATTACAGCTCTTTAATAGCTCATCAGTTCAAAGGCTTTGCAATGTACTTCCTGAAAACAAATAGCTCATAACAAACACACATGTAATTTGGAAACTTATTGATTATACTTACAATTCCTCTCTTTGACGCTGGGAAAGCATTGTTTTCATTGTCTTGTCACAGGCTTATTCTGAAAATGTACCAAAATAATTCATAATTAGACATGTACACACATATGCAGCCAAAAGCCGGACCTCAGGCTCTGCATTTGGACCCCACTGCAACAAAGTTCTGCTGGGACTGGAACTCACCCTTGGGATATATGCACACATTTTTAGCACACAATGCTGGTTCCTATAAAAATGGTTTACCCAAAGCATACTCATTCTAGCTGATACTGTCACTACGCAGGGTATTTCACTATCTGCAAGTGGAAATAATCTTTTTGAACAATGTGGGTAGGTCACACCGGTCAGGGCGATGTAACTATGCCGGGGAATGTTCTCGCTGTCAGAACTGGTGCCCTTGGCCGACTAGTGGGGAAAAGCGCAATCAGGGCAACACTAACATTAAGAACTTCAATCCAACACGGCAGAACCATACACCTAATGCCTCACGAAAACCCACTCTGCATCAATAATCCCGGCCACGCAGCGCAGCGCCGCCCTTCTACCGCGACTGTCGTTTGCGTAGGAAACCGTATGATGGTTTACTGATTAGTCAAGGACGTAATTTCAACTTGAGATTTATTTACATTATGCCAGTCACTGCGTGACGTAACTGGTATCCAGTTTTCGAGTTAGATGAATGCCGGTGATTGCACAGCCGGTAAACGGAGAAATGAACCTGCGACCGATGAACGTAAGGCAGATTGTTCGTAGGCAAATGCGCACACCGAGATGTTCGAAAACGCTAGCATTTGTAGAGCGATTATTCGCATCGCGATGTTCGTAGGCGCGATTGTTGGTAATTATTATGGAAAGGGGTATCTCAGATTTAAATGAGATTTTGAACCGAAATAATCGTCTTTTCAAGATCATTCCCCGGAGTTCAAAATTATGCCTTCGGTGGGCCTTCAAGTCCTATCGTTTCTGAGCTATGCGCAAACCTGTGCAGACTATTTCGTGGCGCCTGATTCAAAGCCGCGAGAGATGCATGACATCACGGAAGAGCCATACGACCTCCAACTCCCCATTGGTCATATTATGTCCAGGATTAATACAATACGAACATTGACTTATTCCAGTCTGAAGTACGCCAGCACGCATCATCACACAACGGGCATCAGTCGGTCGGCTTTTCCAGTTTGACGTCTTAAATGCTAGTGGCTGAAAGCCGAACCCGTTTGATGATAAATAATAAAGGTATTTCCGTAGATGTATCAGCTGGCACGAATGTGAGTCAGGGAATAGAACAACTAATATAGTTTTTGAGGAATAGCGTCATCCGGGAATAAAGACGGAAGTAAAAAAATGAGTACTGTCACGGAAAAATCATATAAAAACACCACGAGAGAACGCAGAAGCACGCGCACATGGCGATGGTCGGTTTTTCATACGCATGAAATAAGGAGCCACGTTGCGGCGAGTTGAACTACTACAAGTGTGTCAGCCTGTCGGCTGCAGCGGCATTTTCACACAGCCAGGCTGACAGTAGCTCTGACACCACAAAGATGTCCATGACGTAATCAAGCGATGACGTATTAAGGAGCATATATACGACATAATAATGATGTTAACTGCAGCATTTTTTGCACTTAAAGGAGGTGTTCCATATTTGTATGAGGTTTTGAAATGAAAAAGCGATCTTAAAAATTCGTTGCAGTTCACAGCTCTGTCCTTCTTCATACCTAAGCCCTTCTAGTCTTTTAGCTACACGCTCGCGAAGATGTGCAGACTTTCCGGGGAGACTATCGTTAGGTTGCCCAGGCATCCACGACGCCAAAATAGCGACATTCAAATGATGCTATTCCATTGCCCTTGCGGCGATTCAGGTTAAGGAAAATGTAGATGTGGAGTCGTTCACATCTGGCGATTGTAAGCACGATTTCCTGATACAACGGCCATCCATTGGCTCTCAGTTAATGTTTTGCAAGGTACAATAACGTTATCAAACAATGACCAATTGAGGTGCATATTTACTGGAGCAGACTTCCACTTAGAAGAGTATCCTAATAGTTACCAGTGGCCTCATTCCATCATATCTCACGCTTGCTTTAATATCTTCAAATGTGAACAGTTCCCTTCAGAAGCATACCAATAGTTGCAAGCGAGCATTCCGATCCTATAATGCCCACCTCAACATCTTCGAATGTGGACCATTCCCTTACCTCATGGCGCGCAGTTATTCGCATCGCAAATGTGTGTGAGCACGAATGTTCGTAACTGCTAAGCACGGAATGAACGTGCTGCAATCGCTCGTATTGCAGAGGCTCGTGAACGCCTATATTCTTAACCGGAAATATTGTAGCGGTTCTATTGTGTATCGATATTCATGTAAATTTGCAATTGTTCGAGTACATCCACATGCGCGACGGGAAACGTTGGTGGTCGAACGACGTATGCTCGTAGATTCAACAGAATGTGCACACATAGGCTGATAGACATACGCACACTCTTAAAGGAAGTGTTCCATCTTTGGATAGGATTTTGAGCTGAAATAGCTATCTCAAAGATCACTGGGTGGAGCTCACAGCCGTGCCCTTCTTGAGACCTAAACCCGTCTAGTTTTGAGCTACACCCGCGACGATGCGCAAACTTTTTGGGGGGACTATCTCAAGGTCACCTATTTATCTATGACGCCATAATAATGTCATTTAAATCCTGCCATTCCTTAAGCCATGCGGCGATCAAGACCAAAACAAAATAATGCTAATTGTCCAGTTGTTCATATATGGCGTTTGTGAACAAATTACCTCCAGATATGACACACGTCAGTTGGCTCTCAATCAAGGATGTGCAAGATACGATCATGCAATCTTACAATGGCGTATTGAGGAGCATATTCACTAAAAAAAGGAATTGTGTTGTCTAGAGCAGTCTTTTCCACTTATAACTACATCATTAGATATAAGTGAGCTTATTTTATCATTCATAATGCCTGCTTTAATACCTTCAAATATGAAACATTCCGCTAGTTGCAAAGTGTATTTGCGAAGAGCTCAATGTATGTGTATATATCTATACATAGATGAGAGAGAGAGAGAGAGAGAGAGAGAGAAGATAGAGAGAGAGAGAGAGAGAGAGAGAGAAGAGAGAGAAGAGAGAGAGAGAGAGAGTAGTGAGAGAGAGAGAAGAGAGAGAGAGAGAGAGATATGATAAAGAGAGAGAGAGAGAGAAGAGAGAGAGAGAGAGAGAGAGAGAGAGAGAGAGAGAGAGGGAGAGAGAGAGAGGGAGAGAGATGAGTATATAGATATATATCATAATATATAATAATAGAGCATATCTCTCTCTCTCTCTCTCTCTCTCTCTCTCTCTCTCTCTCTCTCTCTCTCTCTCTCTCCTCTCTCTCTCTCTCTCTCTCTCTCTCTCTCTATCTACTATCTCGCTCTCTCTCTATCTATCTATCTATCTATCTATCTCTATCTATAATAAATATATATCTCTATAATCTTTCTCTATTTTTTTTTATTATATATATATATATATATATACGAAAGTAGCAATTTAGCCTTAGTTCTGGTAGAGAAATCAGGAGAATGGAGATATAGATGCGTGGATATTTCGGCAACATGCGTTTAGCGAAACAAATAGGAGAAGTAAATTCACAATTGCCTGCCGATGATCCTACTCGATTTTTCAGGTTTTGTTTTGCAACAGTGAGCCACAGTTTCCACAGGTCACCGTCATCCAGGAGATTATGCAAGTAGCAACTGCCAGTCATTGCTACAACACAGTGGATATTTAAGAACAAGAAAACGCGAAAATACATGCACATACAAACGAGCTCAAGTTAACGGACATCACGCATCACGCTTCGTTCAAACATGCAAGTAATTTCAGTTAAACAGGCATCACGGATCCTGCATCAGTTAAGCATACAAACGGTTTCAGTTAAATAGGCATCGTTCATGACGCGTCAGGCATCACTCATACATGTAAACGATTTTTGATATAATTTGGACAAAAATGGCTAATTTGATATCCTTACTATGTCTTGACGGTGTTGAAACGGACCACTCAGTGTTATGGCCAGACGTACCTTAGCTTAGAGTCTCAATAACGCATGTTTTTGAAGTATGCCCCCGAAGGTGGGACACCCCCTTTCAAGGAAGTGTTCAACATTTGTTCGGGGTTTTTGAACTGACCTAGCCCGTTTGGAGGTCGTTCAGCGCAGCTCACAGCCCCGCCCTGTTCAAGATCTAATGTCCTCTAGTTTCTGAGCTACATGCCCGCGAAGATGTGCTGAACTGTAGACTTTTTCGTGCAGGATATTACAAAACATACAACCAGGGGCGCGGGAATGATTTTCAATTGGGGGAAAATGATTTGGCAGGCCTTCTTTCCTCATTTACCCCCCCCCCCCCCCCCCAATGTTTCGTCCACTTAGGTGAAAAAGTGATATGGTTCAAGGTAAATATTTAGTTCAAGGAATCAATCAACGAACCCTCATGCATATCACAACATGGCACACCACAAAATCCATATCTCCAAGTCCAATACCGTCGGCTTTTGTGTTTTTGAAGCCTAAAAAAGTCATGATGCCGGAAAAGCAGAACTCTTCAAAAGACCACAACTATTTAATATTAACGACGGTCATGATATGTTGCCCATGATTCACCGCACCCGAGGCACTAATCTTGCAGTAACTTTGCGTTGTTGCTGTGGTGACTTCACGCTATTTTCACTTCTGACACTGGGGTTCAGCAACAGTGCACTGCTGACTATCGCAGAGGTCTGTTTTTGGCCTAACTGGAAATGACCGTCAGAATATTACAAGATTGTTTATCATTGTTGACACTTGCATCCTTATAGCTACTTTCACCCTGCTGTAAGGTTTTCCAATACGATCAGACCACAGGTGCAATCATCGACATGTTTACGACTAGATAGCAAATTATGCGCGAATTCACATCAGTGTACTGGTTTTCTCCGCGTCTTCACCCATGAGCTTATGGATTGTGAGTTGTTTTTAAAATAATCGGCCTCCAATGCCTATATGCCCTGAGGCGCTGGCTTAACATTATCACGCAAGCATTGGCACACATTTTGAGAAAACTCGACTTTTCGAAACGGCCCTTATGGTCACAAGGGAACAATTATTTCCTGCATTATCTCATTTTCAATGTTGGAACACAGAATGCCGCAAAACACCTCTCTTTCCAACATCAAACATACTGCTTTATGGCCTCACGCTGTGATGTCATCGAGTTAACAGAGAAGTGTTTGACGATGAAGCTGTAACAAGATGTTTTATGGTTTTAGCCATTTCATTTGTAGGGTAAAATTAAATATCAGACATGGAACACTGCAACATAATTGTACGCAAACAGGTCATAAGACTACTGAGTGTTCAAAACATCTGCGAGCCTATTTTTGTTTGTGTCGAATTAGACATTTATGTAGACGACCGTGTATTATCATTTTTGTGGAAGGCAGTAGAATTATCCTTATTCCTCGGAGAAAAACTAGGAAAATGGAGATACGGTTGGGTTGATATTACGGTAACATGTCTTAATCTTCTGCTTTTC